CATTTCTGAATGAACGTTACATAGTTAATATAATTTCAAACTGTATCATTACTGTAAAATACGTGTGAATAATATCACTTATTTGACATTTATTTCAGTAACTATAGAATTGTGATTGGTAGTATATCACATGGTCACCTAGAATACCTATGGTAGAAATAGCAAATCAGTGGCGACTGCAGCTTAGAGGTTATTCTTTCAGAACTTCAACAGTGAATGGCATGAAGCAGTTTCTGCATGCAAAAGTATCTTAAAATAGGTTAAATAGTTTTGAACCACAAGCTCTACACCTCCTGGTACTGAACGTATAGCGAGAACACTAGATAATGTGGTGAGAGTAAGAAGAGTCATCTACCAAATTTTATCTATCAAATTAATCTATCAAATTTATACGAGGCGTATTCGGAAACTAAGTACCGTTTTGAAAAAAAGAATAGTAAAACAATTTTTTCGAATCCAATTCTATTTTTACATGAAAATACATGTCTTAAACTATTTTTCAACATAGTTTCCGCCAATGATCAAACACTTGTCATAGTGGGTAACCAGTTTTTGTATACCATCGTCAAAGAAACTTCCCGCCAGTTTCGATAACCACGATTCACAGCATATTTTTTGGGTCATCATCAGATCCAAAGCGCTTGCCACCAAGCTCGCGCTTCATGTGCAGGAACCAAGTGATAGTCGGACGGCGCCAAGTCCGGGCTGTACGGCGGGTGATCGAACAACTCCCAACGAAACTGTCGAATTAACGATTGAGTGACACCAGCAGTATGGGGCAGAGCATTGTCATGGAGCAACACAATTCCTTTACTGAGCATTCCTCTTCGTTTGTTTTGAATGGCACGCCTTAGTTTTGTTAAAGTCTCACAATATCGTGCCGCATTAATGGTTTCACCTCTGGGAAGAAATTCAGTAAGCAAAACGCCTTTGCTATCCCAGAAGACAGTGCACATGATTTTTTTATGATGACATTGTCACTTTGAACTTTTGTTTTTTCGGAGAATGAGTGTGTCTCCACTCCATCAATTGTCGTTTCGATTCTGGTGTGAAATGACACACCCAAGTTTCATCACCTGTCACAATTTGGTTAAGTTTTCTCCCTCATCACTGTACCGCGTGGGAAATGTCAGGGCACTACCAAGTCGCTTTGTTTTGTCAATAACAGTGAGCATTTTTGGAACCCATCGGGAACACAGTTTGCGATAATTCAAGCGGTCAGACACAATTTTGAACAAAACAGTACGTGAAATTTGTGGAAATGCCTCTGAAAGAGTTGTCATTGTGAAGCATCTATTCTCATGAATTGCTTCATCAACTTTCCTTACCAAATCATCGGTGACAACAGAAGGCCGACCACTCCGAGCCTCGGCGTGGACATTTGTTTGACCTGCATTAAACATTCTTACCCACTTTCTCACCATTCCATCACTTATCGCGTATTCACCGTAAACTTCTGTCACTTGACGATAAATTTCGGCCGGTTTAACATTCCTTGCGTTCAAAAATTTAATCACAGCACGAATCTTACAGTCAGTGGGAGACTAATTGTCTTAAACATTTTGAATGTGCACAGCAAACTGAAAGCACAACATAGAGCAACCAAAATGGTGACAATTGAAAGTCAGTGGACAAGAAAGATTAGTGCGCATGCACGGGACGCCTACCACAGCGCTGCGACGGCGCTAGAATTAAATGGTACTTAGTTTCTGAATACGCAACGTACTTTAACCATCCATAGCTCCTTGAAATCTACATACAGCTATCCTAAACTTCCTCTCACCCAAGAAATCAAAACCATTACAGATAACAGGATTCTTACTAAAAATAAATTAAATATATAGAAGACCTTATTATGCAACTTTAAACTCATCCTGAAACATAATATACTTCAATTGATCTCAATACCCTTTGTATATACATATAAACACTGAAAATAATTCCATCTCAATATATTATTCAAAACTTTCATTTGGGCATACTCTAGCCATAAGTAAATAATACTATCAAGCAATTAATATCACTAATAAATATCATAACTAAAAATCAATAAGCAATTCTCTGTAGTGCTTGACATTTGGTTCAGTGTCACTCTTTAGCATTTCTTCTGGAACGAGACTTAGTAAAATGAATTTTAAAAACTGATTTAAAACTCTATCTATACAGAATTCTCTATTTGAACGCATGTAAGGCAACTTCATCTCTTGACTTAAGCCTGCACAGTGGAAGTAGGACATTACCTGCCAGAGGAGATTTCTTTCTATGTAACATAAATAGAATTCTTTTTCATGTCTCTTCAAACGTATATCATAAAACCTGGTATTAAATAAACTGTACAATGCTCATTCAGAAATGAGTACATTTCACTATGCCATCCCATGATAGAAAACGAATTATCATCTAAGAAATCATTCCTTTAAATCGCATATACAGTACATCTTTAATCTTTAAGTCTTTAATCCAAAACGTCCATAATCCGGAATGATCTATAATTCGGACCTCAAAGCTGCAAACTTTCTGCACATGCGTAAACGCATGATGTGTTTACTCATGCGCATAATACCTTTGCGCATGCGTGTTTAATGTATAACGGACGGTATAAACTGGGCTAAAATTATCTAATTATCTATTTCAGTTAATGTTGCAGATTGCATTGTTTCTTAATCTTCTAATTGGATCCGCCTTATTATTTTTTGCAGACTGTTAGAGCAATTTTATAAAAGGTAAGCTTGAACTTTCGATTATGTCAAAAAGAGTTTCCGATTCTGGAGCTGCTAAAGGATCTACAAAGCGAAAGCATGTTTCGATGTACCGCGTCCGATAGTGAAGAAAGTGACAGAGGGGTTATTGAAAACGAAAAAAATTTCGATTGACAAGTTAGTCGGTATTCTCGACACAGCAATTACAGACTTGAACTTTGTAACTGAACAAGAAATTATGTCTGTTTATAGAATTAAAGAGAAAGTATTATCTCATAAAACGAAGCAACTTAAACAATCTACATTGAAAGAAATGTTTAATAAATTAAACAAATAAATGTTAACCTTTTTTTTGTTTTGTAAATTTTGATACCCTTTAGATCATAATTGTTCTTTATTTTATAAATTACGGTTTCATATTTTTTATTTTAGAATTTCTGCGTGCCATCTTACGAGATTTAAACTGATGATCTATAATCCGGAAAAATCGATAATCCGGAATCGCCGAAGTCCCGACGAGTCTGGATTAAAGACTTTTGACTGTACTTGGATTCAAAATCATGGTGAACAGATTGCCTGTTTAGAAGTTTTTGTGTTTTTCTCTATGCAAAAAGGGTGACTTGTTAGGGTAAATACAAACCATTTACCCCAAAAAATTACCCTTTTAAAAAAATACGATAAATTTTTAATTTTTTAAAATTATCTTTCAATTTTTTTAATTGTTTCTTGTATTACTCACCATTTTTTTTCGTTATAATCCTGTGATACGTGTTTGAGGTTTCAACATCCCCCCCCCCGAAAAAAAAACATTACTTGATGAAACAAATGTTAATTCACTTTCAGATATTTTATCTGATTTGTTTTTAGAACTATTTTTTTTATCTCAAACAAGGATCTCTTACTTCATCAACCATAATTTCTCTTCGACTTCTGTATTCTATTTAAACATTATATATCAGGTTTTTTTAAGTTTCAGTGCATATAGAAAGTATGTAAATCCACTATATTTGACAATGCAGTACTATTATGGAGATTCTGGGAAAATTTAAAATTTTGTCAGAAAATGTGCCATAAATGATCAAGTTCATCAGAAAGTTCACAATCAGAGATCAAAAACTCTCTTTTCATTGCTAAAATAAAGTACGATGAGCAAAAATAATAAATTTTCTTCATTTGCATAGCAATAGGACCTACAGGGAAGACATTTATCTACAATGATAATCTAGCAATTATCTAGATAATATACAGCTAGATAATGAATAATCTATGTATCGCAGGTCTTGATAATAATCTGTCATTTATCCAAAATCTAAGCCTTGTCAGAATTTCCCATTCCTGAATTGCTTATTATTCCAAAGTAACAGAGCTCGCAAATTACTGATTTAAATGGGAATGTTCTTGCTGTTAATCAGTCAGAATCAATTATTAAGAAAATATTTGCTAGGTGTATCATAGCATATAATTTTATTTTCGTTGAAACAAAGTCTTTTGAAGTGGGATTTGTTAGTATTGAAATTAAGAAATGTGCTTTTGAATGATGGCATCATGGTCCCAGTTACTTTAGACCAGGAATTCCCTAGTTTTTTCTTGCATCAAACCTTTTTAAAAGAATGCCATTCTTCCTCGACCTCTTTATATTGCACAGCATTCAACACAGTCATACAAGTACAACAAAGTCATACAAAGTGATACAAGTAACTTTACATAAATAACCTAAAGATACCAATTAGACTAAGAATGTAAACAAAAGTTTTTTTTAATTGTTTATTAGCTTTGTTTCATTTTTTTATATTACCACTATTTTTAATTTGACAAAAATAAACTGGATTATTTTTAATTTGGTTTAGTTTTCAAAAACAAAATCTCAGATTCTCACTGCATAAAAGTTCAACTTTAATTATTATGATGGCTACACTTGATGAACAAATGCAATTTTTTTTAATATTTGGTATAATATTGAACTTAATTCTTAAAACATTCGTATTCAAAAAGTTTTGAACTTGTTTCTTGTTTTCCTTAGTAAATTATTGACTTCTACCTCCTTCCACTAAACACAAAAAGGATAAAGTCAATAATGTTTGTTTGCAAACAGCTTTTATTTTAGGATATTTCTTTCGAATGACTTTAGCCTGTGCATATTCAGCTGTCGACCCCATGATCATTATTGATCCCTATTTAAAACTTCATTGACTCTCAGAAGGTCGTTACCAATCCTGCTAACCCTTGGTCTAGATGCTTGGAATTCATATGTATTTGAAAAATCTCTGATTGTTACTATTTTGATATTCCTTTCCTTTTCAGATACCTCTGCAAGAACATCAAGTTGTGAAAAATGAGTTTTAGAAAATGTTTAGTGTGTAATTATTGCAAAAGAAAAGTATCAATTAGCGATGAATCCTTCCCAGAAAATCTTTTTGATTTAATTACAAAGTATAAAATAGATCAGTTGCTCTGGATTTGTAAAGCATGCAAAATAAGCTGTCATCATTCTTGCTGTTCCTCTAAAAATGATGTTAATGAAGTACACCAGGAATTGCTGGAAATAAAAGAAGTCCTTCAACATTTGACTGCAGAAGTAAGAAATTGCTCTTCATTTGTTGCCCAGCAGTATTCTTATCCACATTCTGCTCAGGTTTGTTAAAAAAAAGTTCTTTGTTTTACCGTAATTTAAGCATAATATTATAAACTTTATTCTGTTTAAACAAATGTTATATATGTGATTTAAAAGAATGATTTCTTAGATTATAATTAGTTTTCTAATATGGGATGGCATAGCGAAATGTACTCATTTCTGAATGAGCATTGTACAGTTTATTTAATGCCAGGTTTTATGATATAGGTTTAAAGAATTCTATTTATGAAAAAGAATTCTATTTATGTTACATAGAAAGAAATCTCCTCTGGAAGGTAATGTCCTACCTCCACTGTGCAGGCTTAAAGTCAAGAGATGAAGTTTCCCTACATGCGTTCAAATAGAGAATTCTGTACGGATAGAGTTTAAAATCAGTTTTTAAAATTCATTTCACCAATTCTTGTTCTAGAAGAAATGCTAAAGAGTGGCATTGAACCAAATGTCAAGCACTACAGAATTGTGTTGGAGAGATTTGCTTATTGATTTAGGTATGATTTTTTATTAGTGATATTAATTGCTTGATAGTATTATTTACTTATGGCTAGAGTATGCCCAAATGAAAGTTTTGAATACATTGGGATGGCATTATTTTCAGTTTTAGTATATGTATATACAAAGGGTATTGAGATCAGTTGGAGTATATAATGTTTCAGGATGAGTTTAAAGTTGCATAATAAGGTCTTCTATATATTTAATATTTATTTTTAGTAAGAATGTTGTTAGCTGTAATGGTTTTGATTTCTTGGGTGAGAGGAAGTTTGGGATAGCTGTATGTAGATTTCAAGGATATATGCATGGTTGAAGTATTAATTTGATAGATTAAAGTCCTAATTTGGTAGATGCTTCTTCTTACTCTCACCACATTATCTAGTATTCTCACTATACGTTCAGTACGAGGAGGTGTAGAGCTTTTGTGGCTCAAAACTATTTAACCTATTTTAAGATATTTTTGCATGCTGAAGCTGTTTCATGCCATCCACTGTTGAAGCTCTGAAAGAATAACCTGTAAGCAGCTGCTGCCACTGATTTGTGATTTCTGCCATTGTTATTCAATGTGATCATGTGATATACTACCAATCACAATGCCATAGTTACTGAAATAAATGTCAAATAAATGATATTATTCACACACATTTTACAGCAATAATACAGTTTGAAATTATATTAACTATGTAACGTTCATTCAGAAATGAGTACATTCTCCTGTGTCACCTTGTATTGCAGTTTACTCTTTTGATAAATTGTCCTTCTTTCACAGTAGAATTTTTCTTGTGATGCTAATTTTGTGCAAGGTCCTAGAAAGATACTTTAAAATATACATATGTGTCTTGGATACCTGGTTGATATCCATGCAACATATCATGAAATATTATATGATATACGTTGATGAGCCAAAACATTATGACCATCCCACATTTTTTCGATGAACTCATCTGGATGATGTGGAGAGGTGATTAAGTAGGAATAATATTTAACTGCTGCTGTAGAAGGTAAGGAATCATTCTTGCACTTACTTTTGTAATAGGAAGGGCTGCTGATCTAAGCAAATTTCATGGATGGCAGATTGTAATGGCTCGAAGACTCGGAACGAGTATCTCCAAAACTGCACGACTGATAGGTTGTTTACGCTCTGCCATCGTCATTTGTCCATTTTGCCATTTATGCAGAGTGGACAAATGACCATGAAACCAGCAGTAGATGCCAAGATGTTGAACATCCATGCATCATCAAAGAAAGAGGATGTCGGAAACTGTCCAGCTTACCAGTCGAAAACTGTACTGCAAAATGGGCATCAGACAGTGCCTCAGTTGGTGGCCCAATACAGTGCAGATCCAAATGCAAGCATTTCAGAACACACAGTTCAGCAGACACTGTTGGATATGGGACTGTGCATTGTGTGTGAGACTCGTGTGCCTCTGTTGATGAAGTGTCATTGTCAACTATGCCTACAATGGTCCCAGGAACATCAAGACTGGATTATGAATAAGTGGAAGACTGTTGCCTGGTCAGATGAATCCCAATTTCTCATTCATCATGTTGATGGTCATGTTAGAGTATGACATCATCCAGGCAAACAGTTGTTCTCCCATGTACAACAGGTCATACACAAGCTGGTGGTGGCAGTATTATGCTTTGGGGGACATTCTCATGGGTAGCTCTGGGATCCTTAGTTACGGTAAAACAGACTATAAAAGCTGTGGACTATCTGAACATATCTGCGTATCAATTGCACCTTTACATAGAATCTGTCTTCCCAACTGGAAATTGAAAGCTTTCAGCAGAACAAAGTACCGTGTCACAAGGCTCGAATTGTGTTGGAGTAGTTTGAGGAGCATAAGGATGAATTCCAACTAATGTCCTGGTGACTAAACTAACCAGATCTTAACCCAGTAGCACATTTGCAATGTCATGGAGTGGCCGTTCAGAGCTCAAACACCACCATGTTGGAATAGCTTGACTTTGCATGACTGCTGCTTAGACATTTGGTGCAACCTGTCTCCAGTCATCTACCAAGAACTTGTGGCATCCATGCCAAGGCAAGCTGCAGCTTTTTTGCAGGCCAGAGGTAATGCAATACATTATTGAATTGGTGATCATAATGTTTTGCCTCTTCAGTGTATTTGGATGAAAATTCTACATTAGGGAAACCAAAGAAATGGGTCTTTATCTTCTATAAGCTTTGTTAAATGATACAGCAGCAGAATTTAGGCATGAAAATTGCATAATGAGATATAAATTGTTATATGTATATAAAATGACTGCCAAAAGTGTGGACTTATTTTTAAATTTTTTATACTTTTCAAATATGGATGCTTATGAATTAAGTTCTTCATTAAGCTGAAATAGGTACTTTCTAACTATCCACATCCCTGCTGAAAAGTTACAAAAATTCTTTGTGGCTGATTTTGTTACTAAGCTAGTGCATGAAAAGTCAGAGCCATTTTTAAAATGTTTTCTCACTGACAACTTCGTAAAGGAGCAATCAGTTTATAAAATAAAATTAACCTTCTGAGTGATGCAGCTTTTTGGATCGGCTAATGAAGATAATGAAAACTGGCATTTAAACAGGTTCTATTAGGTAAATTTTTATAATTACTTATATTAGTATTCTCAGTATTTATAGACTTCTGTCCATTAAGATGATATTTAAATTATTAAAGAAAGTAAGATAGTAAATTATGAGCTAAGTATATACCAAGTGAAAAAAAATCTAATGACCGGATAAAGCCGGTCCTGCCCATCAGGGGGTTAGAAAAGCAAGAAACATTGATAATAAAACACTTATCTTTTTCGAGAAAGCCATTTGTAATTTTTTTATGTTGTCGTTCTCCTTGTGTATACAGTGGTCTCAGTTCACTTAAAAAAATCAGAAATTTGCACATGTTCAGCATTAGTACCAGCCAACAATAAATAAAGCAAATAATTGTTGTAAATGAAAGACAGCTATTTTCGTACCAATTTCAGGTTCACATTCTAACACTGTCCTTGCAACTTTCACATTGCATTTTCATAAAATTTGGTCATTTAAGAAGTGCATATTTCTGCAGAAATGCAATGCTTTCTTTTTTATCAGGTAGCAAACTCCACAGTCCCATTAAAGTTCATTAGAATAAAAACAGATATATTCATTTAAAAATTTTAAATAACACTTGAATTTCAAAAAGGCAAATCCACATACCTAAAGAGATTGTTGCTATACCCTTACCTCGGTTACCACATAAATACTTTTTAGTGATATCATGGGTTGTCACATAGCTATTTCGGCAACATCTGTGTTGCCTAATGAGTACTTTTTCGTGCCTTTTTTGGTAGGGATGTGGATGTTTCAGAGTGATCAGTAATTACCAGCAGAACTAACTGCTGAATGAAATATATTTATAATAATATTAATTAGGCAGAATACAGGTGTTAATTGAGACAATAAACTGACTGGGGTTAGAAATTATGTTGGCCATCATAGTTCTTTACTGCATGTTAATGAAATGGCAATAGTTGTGATGTAGCATGTTTCAGATTGGCAAAGGGGTGATTTGCTTTTTGTTATGTAGGAAAAGATTCTTATGCATGTAACTCAAATATAACTGGAAATTGTGCAAATATTTCAAATGTTTAGTCTAATTTGAAGTCTGAAAATTAGACAACTGTGATCAACTTTATTTTTAATGGCTTTTTAATAAACATGTCTTCCTCCCCCTCATTATTTAAGCTTCATTTTGTTTACTGAATATTTCTTCAGTTGATTTAAGAATCTGCATTTAGTGAAACTTATCATTTTGATAAACAAGACAATTTTCAAAATATATTATACCGCTATTTTTTTACCGCTATTATTTATATACAGTAAGAGTCGTGAACAAGAAGGGCTGTAATAAAAAGATTTTTAATAAAAACAGAAGGAAAAATAAGAAAATAGAAAAGAAATATATTTGTAAAATACAAAAGTTTTGAATAACATTGTAGACATTAATAAAGATAATATGTAACTTGAAGGTAAGGGAGAATAATTTTTCATGATAGTGAAAGTGCTAAGCCTCATTTATACATACTTGCACATGCATTCTCATATATATGCAGATAAATTCTAAAGTTATCAGCAAATTGTAATCTAGCAGCTTTTGAACAGGTATTTGAAGTATCCAGAATATTTCAGAGGTCATAGAAGTCTTTAAATGTAACTTTTGTTCTGCACTGTAGTTAAATTATCCATATTACATGAAGAAGCACTAGAATGAGGCAGTGTTGAGAGTTACCTGTGATTTTTATTTATTTCACATAGTAATTTAATACTTTCTTATGTATGTGTGTTGTTTGTATATGTTAAGGTCACAGTCAACTCAAACTGGGAGGGGGGATTTAAACAAGGCAAAAGTGTTTTTCACATATTTTGTAAATTTAATTAAGTGATTATTAAAGTTCTTTTATCCCACTGAATGGAATACTTTCCAGAAAATGTAAAATGTTGTTTACTTATATTATGCAAATTCCATCAACATAATTACTCTATCGATTCAGATTAAAAGTCTGCATGGAATTTCATAGTAGAAAAAGTTGGAAAATCATTAAATTACTAATCGTCTAAAAGGTTGATTATGATAGCATGCAAAAACTGGATGAAAAATATGATTTTCATTTTCCAATATTTCAGTGAATAGTAAAAGAGGAATTAACTCATTCTTTTGTTACTGTATTTTATAGGCATTACTTCTTTATATTAAAGGCATGAAAATCATTTTTCTGAGGTATCCATAAAACTGCATATCCTTTTAATTTCATAAATAGAAATAGTATACACCCAAATACAAAACATTCAATATTAAATTGTATTTCATTTGAAAAGTTCAGAACTATTGGTCTGTTTGATATTTAGCCTGTGAAAATGAGAAATTTTATCAACCCATCTTTGAAATTCTGTTTAACCAATTTAATATAAATTAGTTTAGTAAGTAGTGTTATGCTGCTGTGATTTCAGAAATTTAAAACATTTTTGTGTTTTAAAAAAAGTATTGATTTGCCTATTGGAAAGTTATTCTTTATCGTCATATAATTTCTTTTTCCCAGGCTGTTGGAAACTATTGTACAACCTCGTTACCAGATACTTCACCTTTGCAAGTGGATGTGTCAGATGTATCATTTCCTGCCTTATCCAGAGACAAAATGTCACCATCATCATCCTTATCTGAAGCCAGTTCACAATCACCACCTTTACGTAAAAGAAGCTTGTCCCAGTCACCGCCTATATGCAAAGATAGTTTGTTTTCTTCTTCCCCAAAGAAAAGTAAAGCTGCTCGTGAACTGATGCAGTCAATCTTAAAAAATCAAATCAAAATCGACCCAAATGAGGAAATGAATAGCAGAAAAGTTGTAACTGCCTTTCTAAATATCTTAACAGATGCTTTAAAAGGGGATAATATGTTCAATCTTTTATATGAAAAACCATATTATACTGGCAGTTCATACCATGGTCTAAGAGTTGCCTCAGCTTCTGAGTTTGATATTGATATAGTATTACATGTCCCTCAACAGATCTCTTTAAAGGTAAGAATTTTATAAAGTATGCATCTAAGCTGTCTGTATATGTTCAGGTTTTCACACCAAGAATATACATAAGAAATTATGCTACCTCTGTTTTCTCTGTCTTGGTATAAGCAGTATATCTATTTTGTTTTTCTTATCAAGCAGCAGTACTGGTAAGTTTATGATTCAGTAAATGACATGAGTTTAACAAGCACTATTTAAGTGAGCTGTGAAAAATATTTATTGATGTCATGAGCAGTATGTCTTTTTTCTCTGTTTAGTAAGTTTTTATTGTTGAGTACTGTTGTAGAAGAGTGGCTGAAGAACAATATCCTGAGACTTCCCAATTGAGATGTAAGTAGTTTGAATAAAAGTTACAGTAGAATCTGTTGGTGCTAACTGAAAATAGAATGTTGCAGCACCGCTACTGAATTTATCAGTAAAAAATGCATTATTTCTGCCAATTGACTGAGATTTCCTCATATTATTTTCAGACACCTGTCTAGGGTTGTTGTTGCAAGGGGTGAAACTTCCCCCCCTCCCGGCCCAAAACAAGTTCAACCATCAGGCCATAACAGGGGTTAACCCATCAAACAATAACGAAGAACAGCAAGCCAGCCATGCTTCATCAAATTATCCAATCAAATCAAAATCCCTATCGCTTCTCTATTCTGATAATTCTCATCATAATTTCTTTAGCTACTTGTTTAAATTTCTCATAATTTTCAAAATCCCCATTTATATCAAACGCATGTCTCTGAACTATGTCTCTAGTAAAACTACAAGATTCAAGAAAGTGGTAATTATTACCTTTTATAAAATTGACAGTTTTCATTTTCTTGAAGACCAAATCTCTTAAAATATGCTGGGAATCATCTGTGGCCAGTAATATTGTGGTCCCTATCTATATTATTAAATATCTTTTTCCTTATATTAATTTTCAAAAATCCGATATAACAATTTTTTTCAGACGATTCCCAATTTTCTTTTCATTCCACAAATATCTCCTTTTTCATAATATTTAATAACTTTCTTTTCGAATACAACACTTTAATATCTTTCTTTCTTAGGCCTTGAGCAGCTTCCTTTGCCAGCATGTCCAATGTCAGCATGTCTCATTACCAATATACCGAGTATGGGCCTTGATCCAATGTAAATTTATATTATGTATTTCAGCCAGAAATTTGAAATATCTGTCTAGGATGTTATACCATGGTGGTTACAACACATTACACAATAATGATACATTGATTGAGGTTGAATTCATTTCATCCAGAATCACCTTTCAATTTTTAAATAGCTGGAAAATAGGGCCAGTGCTATACATTTTGCCACCCAATGCAATCTAAAGAGAAGCCTGTGCTCGGGTAATAACCGTAGGTTCCTCTTTTCTCATTTGTACTTCTACAGCTGAAGAAAAAGGTTCTATATTTAAACCTTAAAAACTAATCCTGCAAATTTACGAATATTATGCTAATCCTTGTTACCTTAACGCTTTCAATGATCATTATTTGGTATGTTATTTTAACCCAGATTTAAATGTCCAGTTAAATCAACAAAGGATGTTAAATCAGTTATCCATGTATGATAATGTAGCTCATCAATGATTTTATTTATTTTTCTGTCATGAAAATTTGATTTCACATATTAAATCAATAAACTGTTTTAATATCTTGACATAACTATCTCACCTTGTTATGCTGTACAATGTCTGAAATCCGGATGTCCAATATCCGTAATGATCTAAAATCCCAACCTTAAAACCGCCAACAAAGCTTTTCTCATAGCCTTTACGCATGTGCATTTGATTTTTCCTCCGCACGTAATAAAACATCTGGAGAGTCCCGATTCTTAATTTCATTTCAACACTGAATGAAATACTTTGGTATTGAAGGAACAATAATTTTAGTATAAATTTGTACCATCAGTAATTTGGCTCTGTTGCCACATATCTGCTTGGCAACATCTCAAACCGAAACAGTCCACATATGCACATTGTTGATCTGACGCCAACCTGGCGAATCAGTATTTATTATACTTTCCTTTCATCACTGCATGTTTATCATGACATGACAACTTGAATAATGACTAATGTAGTGATGCCCAAACAATTTTTTTAATGTTAGTAATTGAATAATAAAAGGAGTATTGTAATCTTTGATGTTGACATTACGCTTGCTGATGATTACAGATTTAAGTTAAATGCACTAAAATATGTTGACGAGAAAAAATTTAACAAAAATTTCTTTCTGCATGCTGAAAATAGATTTTGTTGATGATACCCAAAGTTTACATTTAGGGCTATTTGAATTAAGAAAAACGGATTTGTTATTCACATAAACCCAGAACCAGCACCAGGGCTTATATGGTCGCGCCGGGTCGATAATTTATGACCCACAGAAGACTCCATCAGGCAGTAAGACATCTATCTAGCACCGGCCTTCAATAAGCCTTAAGTATATGTGGGAATTTATTTATTCATAACTCTGATAAGCCTTAGCATGTGCAAGAAATAGACATAAATATAATAAGTAACTAAACGAATACAATTCAGGCTTAATTGTCTCAGTGCGCGATAGACGAGAGATAAAATTTAACGGAACAACTTGTCGTTAGTCGCCAAGCTCCTGATGCATAGCCAAGTATGTATAGTGAAGGATAGTTAAATTTGGCAATGATAGCCGCTAATTTTAAAGGTTTTCAGATATCGCAAAACAAAGGTGAAATTTTTCAATTAAATTAACGGATTTTGTAAAGAAATGTGGAAAAGCAATAATAAATGAAGATGATATAAAAGAAGTTTTTCATTGTGATGACAATGCTCCTTAATCATCAATCAATTAATGAATTGCAAAATCTGTAGTATGGTTCTAGATCCAGAAAATACCGCTACCGATAGTGAAGGAAGTGATAGAGAAGTTACTGGACATGAAAAAATTTCAATTGACAAGTTAGTCGGAATTCTCGACGCAGCAGGTACAGGACTTCAATAATGCAACTGAACAAGAGATTATGTCTGTCTACAGAATTAAAGAGAAAGTATGAGCACAAAAAATGAAGCAACTTAAACAACTTACATTGAAAGAAATGTTTAATAAGGTAAACAAATAAATAAAAAGCTTGTCCACCCCCTTTTTTTTTTTTTTTTTTTTTTTTTTTTTTTGTAAATTTTTAATACCTTTTAGTTCATATATACTTCATTATTTCATAAATCACGATTTTATATTTTAATTTTGTAATTCTACATGCCATCTTACTAGATTTAAACTGATGATCTAATATCTGGAAAAATCACAAATCCGGAATCGCCGAAGTCCCAACGAGTCCGGATTTCGGTCTTTGTACTGTACTTTAACATTTTAGTTATAATTTCAATAACCTTATCCATCTGCGAATTTCTAACACCATTTGTATAACAAATGCATAACTAAAATAGATTTGTGGACCACATAAAATTGCTTTGAGGGCCGCATGTTAACTGTGAGTTTCCACTTTGAGATCACTGTTATATTTCAATTTACCCAGAACTGAAGCTGAGTTAGTGTGACCAAATAACTCAAAAGCAGACCCCCAACTTTCTTCATAAATAGAATAAAAATGTAGGTCACATCTTTGAAAAATTATGTTGCAGTAAATGGTGATTTTATTGAAAAATTAAGGCACAGAGTTTAAGAAAAATTCTTTATTTCGAAGCCACTATCATGTAAACTTATTTTAATATGCTCTAAAACTTTGTGTCCATATCATATCGAATAAAAGTTGCTAATATTTTACATCTCATTAAGGAATATCAGTTCTAGCTTGCATGTAATTTCAGTTATACAATTTCAAGTTGAAGCAAAGCTTCATTTTTTTATTGTGTACGCATATGATAGTGTTCATAAAAGCTAAGGAATTAAAGCAATACATTTTCCTTTCCACAAACAGTGTTGCAGTAAATATTTAGTTGCATTCTATCTCTAATTTTTGTCATTTCCAGGTCTTCTGTGCTAATTAGAAAGAATCTAAAAGTATGTTACATATGTATTTATGAAATCTTTTATGTCATTCCTGTTGTTTCATTTTACTCAAAATCATCAGGAACCTAATTTGTATGCTGATTCATGTTTGTATATGCACTTTAACATAATAAATGTGTTTCTTTATTATGTGACATATGTAAACTGCTAGCTAAATGCTGAAAGAAAGTCAAGCATGGGTACTTCTAATTATACTGACCCCCACCAAAAAGCTGCAAAAATGCATTCATGAAGCAAAGCAGTATGTCGAAAAAAGTCGTGGCAATCCTCAAAGTCATCAAAAATTACTTATATGACTACTCAAGTGTGAACATAGCACATGGCTGTTCTGGCTGGTATGTAATGCAATGAAATCAAGTTTTTGCAATTCCCTGATGTTTTCTTAACCTTCTGTGTGCAGCTTGATTTTCATAGTTTCCAGTTTTGAAATACGAGATGATTTTTTTTTTCCCCATATTCTCTATGTACATTAATTACTGTTCACATCTTTATCAATAGTTTTTTTAAGAATACAAGAATTTTAATTGCTTTTTGCAGCTTTAAATTGTATATTGTTATGGATTTTGTATTTATTTAGCTATTTTTAGTAAAATTAATTAAAATTGTTTTATATCCCCCTGCAATGCAGCACGAGACTTATTTGAAGAAAAAGCTACGCTGAAAGGGGAAATCTTCGCCCATGATTTTAACGTGAATCATAACAGTGTGATAACCCTGCTCAAATCGCAAGAGCCATATATAGAAGGTTAAGCAATAGATAGCAGCTCACTGTATGGAGATCCTATATATGATCAAAAATGGAGAATGACAAGAAATAAGATTTAGCTTTTATTACTTAGTCTAAGGCTACCAAAGCGTTAAATACAGAGTATATTTAAACATTTTTAGAATAATTTCAATAAAGAATTTAAAAGGATTTGGAATAACAATTTTTTGCAATGCCTTATTTGAAATGAGAAATATCGTCTGCTACTTTTAAATTTATTCTTCTTTCAAAATATTGCGTATAAGCAAGCTGGGGATTGAAGGATATGTTTTTGCACTTTCCAAAGAGAAATATTCCTAGGTACATACTGTTTCTAATGTTCCTTAAGTTAAATCATTGGTAACAAAAAACTGTCAACACAGAAATGAAATTGGTCTTTAAATACATCTCAGAGCAGAATCTTTAAATAAATCTGTGGCTACAATAAATAAAATAATAAACCAAGATTTTCAACTTAAAAAAGCTAAAAAACATAATGTTTACCAGCTTTTGCTGAGACGTGGCTCATGCAGAACAATTTGTAGAATCCTGTAATGAACCTATTTAGCAGGAAATAAACAGAAATAGAAATACATTGTGACCCTTGTTGAAACGGGTTTATCTAAATGACTATATTTATAAAAAGTCTATTAATTATCTAAAACAAAGAGGATAAGACGTAAAAACCTGATTTTGTCAGTGCAGAGGTAGTTTTAATAAGTGGTTTAGGATTCGTTGTAGGTTTCCCTTACAGTAGGAAATTAAAAATTAGAACTGAGCGAAATGTTAAAATCGATTCAATGTACTAGTTTTATTTATGAAAGTTTTATGTACGATATTCGCAGAAGAAATTCCATTTCTTTATTCAAATGGCTTTCAAAGAGTGGAACTTCTTCAACACAAAGCAGCAACTTATACTTTGAAAAGTACTATTGCATTCCTTGAAAAAATGAAGACTGATCCAGCTATTGCATATATATATCTTTTTACTACATTTCTGCAAAGCACATGGATGTTTTCTAAGCACAATCCACTCCCATAGTAGGGTAGAAAATAGCGGAAGATTGGAAATCAATACTTCTGAAAATTTAACAAAAAGCGTTCCTATCATGGAAATCATGATGCAGGCTTATAGTCCAGAAAAAATGCTATCAGACTGAGCATTTAGAATACTCTTTATACTTTAAACATAAATTAAATGGCTTTGAAATCTTTCTAAAAATGTGTAAACACCTTCTGTACATTTGGGAAATGTATGAAGCATAATAGGCACAAAGCATTGAAGAAGTAATAAGTTTTCATTTCTCCTCAGTGATGTTTTAAGAAGATAGTAGACATTTGATTCCAAAGCACAAGATGATTACGAATAATAAATGATATATATTTCATAGTTTATCTTCCGGTTTCTGTCGTTAAATGCATTTGTAGAGTTATTTTATGTACTGTTTTGTTTAACTTTAGCATTTGTACAATAGGTTAACTTATATTTACAAAGCTGCTTTTCCATATTATCTTGGGCTGATAATTCAGCATTTATTTTGAAGTCTCGGATTTGTCAGATTATTGAACTTTTACTGTATTTCAAAAATTTCCCATTATGTGTTATTGTAGCAACTAATTAAATTGAGTTCTTGTTCTTTCACTTTATAGTATATAAAACTTACTTACTACTTACTTATAGTCAGTATACTTTATTGTACATAAATACTACTAATTTTCTCATATAAATATTAATTTGTGAAAATTGTTTTACTTGGTGTTTTTTGTAGTGCTAATTCTCATAAATTTTGTTTCGTAGTTTTTCTTGTACTTAGTATTTGAAAAAATATTCTTATACCTGTTGTTAAAATAACTCCCCCCCCCCCATTTGCTTTGCATTCTACAGCAGAAATTCTCCTTTTAGCTTTCATATAAGAATTATGGTTTTTATTCCAGAAATATTTTTTTCTAACATTACAGGATAATTTTGTTCATTTTTAAGTTAATGTATTGTATGTCATGCTTTTTACAATGTAGTGTTACTTACTTTTTCTGATTTATTATTTCTGAATGTTTCTGGCTGAGTTTTTATTTATATATTTTAAACCAAAGTGTCTTTCTTTGCTCATACTATTTGTTTTTTAAAATGTAATATATTTATGATTCTAATTATTATTTTCTCTAATCATTCTTTTCTTTCTTGTTATCTCTGTTAGAATAATTAAGTTTATTGTTGAATTTTTTTATATAAATTTTACTAATATTAAGAAAATATTTTCAACAGGTAGAGTTTTTCGACAGTACTCTGGCATTTGCAAAGATTAAATGGGAAGTGAAAAGTGAGCTTCCTGAGAATAAGATTGATATTTTAAAATTCTTGAATTCAAATTCTGTAGACTGTTATCTTGAACCAGTTAAAATAACATCTTGGTTTCAAAGCCTTCTTGATCGATTTTTGAGCAAACTGGTGTTCAAAGATGATATAAAGCAAGTAAGTCCATATGACTTTTTATGGTGAAATACATTTCCAACATCAGTTCCAATGTTAGGTTGTTGCACGTGCCATGAACTTTAGTTGGTAGTAGCTACCATGAACTGTAGCTACCATTTTCATAGATTTCCCCATATATAAATATATGCCAGTTTCTCTTATGAAATCTCTGTTATTAGTCCTCTGAACTTCTGTATCTTCTTCAGGTTGGATTTATCAGATACCTCTGTGAAATAGCATTTTGTACCAAACACACCCAAGCCCAATGCTTTGTAGCTCCATTTGTTTGGGTCACCTGCTTTGTTTATTTAGTCTGGCAGCCTCTTAATAGAGCTCAAGTGTAACTCTTTAGTACTGAGAGTACCTAAAATAAAGCAAATGAGGGCAGTGCATCATACATCATATATAATATGGCATGTTGTTATCTTGTTCTAGTTTCTTGCATATTGGGTCTTGTTGAAAAAGTCTCATAGTATGAAGACGTTTTCTGAAATAGTAGTGTCCCTTGATGAAGCCCACAATTATTTGTATATTCAATCTTGGTTACCTAAAAATTTCAGATGCAATCTCAACAGAAGGTTTGATAGATACACTTTTAGCATATTTTTGTCTAGAAGAATCAAGCCAAATTTTATTCATCTCCTGTTCTTCCCATTTAAAGAGGGCACTCTTTGCAGTCTTTATATTGATACCACAAAAGGGTCCCACACCTATTGAATTAAAAGATGATCCCTGTTTTGCAAGTTCATCTGCCTTTTCATTGCAGTTCCCTTATGTTCTGTCACCCAGATTAGGATTACCTTGTTTCTAGTTGCCAGTTCCCTTAGAAGGTTTCTGCATTCCAAAACAATCTTTGATTTAATTTGAAATGAGTATAAAGGCTTGTCCTTCACTAAAAATTATAATCTGCATACCGTGGTAGCCTTTTCTTATATTTGTTTGTAGACAGTTAGTAATGGCGAGAACCTCTGCCAGGAAGACAATGGCATATACTCCCAATACCTCTAAAGAGATTAATTCTAGGTGATACACCATGTTCTTCCAGTCTTGGGATCATCAGTATTTAAACTGAATATGTTGTCATTCCATTTATCCCTAGTAGGAAAAACTACTTTGAATGGCCTGTCAAACATGTAAATAATTTCCATGATGTCTGAATGACTGAATGTATCATGAAAGTAGGATCATAGATTTTCTTAGTAATACTGATATAACCTTTAGCAGTAAGCTTGTCATACCATTGATTTTGCTGCAACATTCTGTAATCAATCATTCTAGCAATTCTGCAAATGAAGATGTCCAAGGAAGTTAGATCTAATATGATCTCTAATGCTCTGGTAGGTGCTGACGGCATTGCACCTGTTGTACACAGTCAGGTCAAGCTTTGCAGACTTCCTAGCCTGTCCCTCACAGTTCTCTGCTCCACCTTGCACCACCAGATCACAGAGGCATAAGTAATAGCAGGTCTGATAAGTGCAGTATATATCCAAATCATCATTTTTGGCTGCAAAACCTCCGTTTTTACCAAGCATGTGTCTACACATCATGATGCATTTTTTTGCTTGATTAATTTTATAATCTACATGTTTAATCCAGGTAAACTTTTGGTCAGTATAATCCTAAGTACTTCACCTCAGAGGTTATGTTGATATGTATGTCAAAGAGTTATTAAAGTAAAATAACCATCCCATCTTCTTTTACATGTGAATGGAACAAGATTAGTTTTCTGTGGATTCACCTTCAGATCCCTCTCTATGCACAATTTACTTACTTAAATTAATGCAATTTGCATAACTTGACAAGTTATGTTGAAATCTTTATCAAGGAGGAATATGACACTGTCATCTGCATAGCCTTGTATTTAGTAGCAGCCTATATCATTTAAGTGTTTGATGAGTGTATTTACTACTCGGTTCCAGAGTAATAGTGATAGAACACCTCCTTGTGAACAGCCTCTGACAGTCTTTTTTTCAAGTGATTCATCAAAGATGTTCATTTGAATAAATCTATTCGAAAGCTGGGACTCAATCCATGTACATAAAATATGGTTTATGCCCATATTCCTTAAAGCATTAAGGTGGGATTATTAAAGGCACCCTGTATGTCAAGAGAGGTGGCCAAGGCAATTTCTCTTCTATCCAGAGTGTCTTCAGTCTTAGAAACAAGCTGATGTAATGCTGTTTATGTAGATTTGCCAGGTTGATAGGCAAATTTTAGGTTACATAAGGAATTATAATTACCCAAGTATTCTCTAATATACCTATCAATAATTTTCTCCCTAATTTTAAGAAAGCCTGATAGGTCTGAAGGATTTAACTTGATCATAGTTATTTTTACCAGGTTTAGGAATGAAAACAACTCTGCCATATCTTTGGAATGTATCCCAGTGCCTGTCTAGCTGAATAAATTCAAATCAGCATTGGGATAATGATTTCCTCTGCCGTTTGGATAATGATGGGCATAATTCCATCAGGTCCATGGCTTTTGAGTGGTTTGAACATGGATATAGGATTAACATTATTATGATAAAGGTTATTTTTAGCATAGGTACATTGACTTCTAGTGACTCTTTTTATGGAGCCATTGAAGTGCTGACCTTTGTTGCTGTATACATCCCTAGCTCTTGAAAAGTGGATTTGGGCCATGATTTCCATAACTTCTTTACCAGTGTTAACAAAGTTACTGTTCTCATCCTTTAGGGTGCCAACCAAAATTGGTTTATCCTTTCTTAAGGAGTCTTTGGAGTCTAGCTCCTTCAGAGATAGAATCTATCTCTTCGCAGAACTTCCTTCGGGAGTCTTGTTTACTTTTTCTGATGTATTTGTAATAATTGGTTATGGCTTTTCTATAATTATCCAATTCACAATATTTATTTGCTTTATTGAAAAGTTTTCTGACTCCTGCCCTTTCAGTTGCTAGAGAGTCGTTCCACCAAGGACATTGGGGTTTTGCTTAGTGCGAATTGGGCAATTGTTATTGTATGAATCTAGAATATTGTTATGCAGACATTCTGCTATACTTCTAGATCATAATTGTCCCTAATAGGTTTTCCCCCAGCTCAGCCAGCTGCACAAGCTCCTCTTGGAATTTTCAGTATTACTGTAATATTAATTTTATCTCATCTGAAGATAGCTGATACCATTCAGAAGCAAAAGAAATTACATTACATTCAGTAACAAATGAAATTACATTACATTCGGTAGCAAAAGAGAGAAATCATGTGCTTTCATTTAACTTCATTGTGTTCTAAATATTTAGCAAAAAAGTTCTAAAAAGTTAGTCATTCAGCAAAAAAGTTAGTCATTCAGCAAAAACGTTAGTCATTCAACAAAAGTTTACAAATTATGCATTGCTCTTTATTATTAAACTGTGTAAAAGAAGAAATGTATTATTGAACTGTTTAAATGTTATTTTCAGTGTGCCACTGAAATATTCAAAAATTGTCGAAAGAAATATTCTAAACTCCCCCCTTTTTTGTTTGTTTGCCCCCCCTACGTGATGCTGATAGAATATGTAATTTTATATTAATTAAACATTTTAATCGAAACTTCTGAGCGTTGTTTTCCAAGTTCCTTGTGACTGGTGGATTTTTTTTTTTTATATATATATATATATATAAATATGTTAATTAAATCTTATTTTCTAAAACTAAATTTCAATAGTTTGAAATAGCAACTTTCTTCTGAAGTAAAAACTAACATGATGTGCAGTACAAAGTCTGAAATCCGGACGTCCAATATTTGGAATGATCTAAAATCCACACCTCAAAGCAACCACCAACTTTTTTTAATTTTACTTATTTATTTTTTGTGTGCTTTACCCATGTGCATTTGATTCTCCTCTCCCCCCTTTAGGATTTTGGAGGGATGCTTTATGCATGCAAATTTGATTTCCTCCCCCCTCGTAATAAAATATGCAGAGAATCCCAATTCTTAATTTCACTTCGGCACTAAATAAAATACATTGTTATTGTAGAATTAATCATTTTAGTATAAATGTGCGTGATTGATAAATAATTTAGCTCTGTTTCTATGTGTCTGCTTGGCATATATCTCAAACCGAAACACTCTACATAGATACATTGTTGATTTTACACCTACTAATATTTTGATGCCAACCTGGTGAATCATTATTTATTATATTTTGCTTTCATCACCGCATGTTTATCAACACATGACAACTTGAGTAACGGCTCATGTAGCAACACCTAAGCAATTTTTTTATGTTAGTTATTGAATAATAAAGAGTATGATATCCTTTTATGTTGACATTACACTTGGCGATGTTTACAGATTTAAGTTAAATGTGCTAAAAATTTTAACGAGGAAACATTTAACAAAAATTTCTTTCCGTATGCTAAAAATAGAGAGGCCAAAAGATTACATTTAGTGCTATTTGAATTAAGAATAACTTATTTGTTATTTACATAAACCCAGAACCAGTGCCATGGCTTGTAAGGCCGCACCGGGCGACAGAATTTAGGGAAGACAAAGAGAGGTGCTTGGTTGCAGAATGTAGGCCCCACAGAGACTGCATCAGGTGGTAAGATATCTAGCGCTGGTCCTCAAAAAGCCTTAAGTATGTGTGGAAATTTATTTATTTAGGGCTCAGATAAGCCTTAACATGTTGATTGCAGTGGAGGTCACCAGTGGCCGTCACTCGATTTGGCTACAGCGCTGTGGGGGTCACCAGTGACCAACAATGCGACCAATAGTAAAAATACATAATTAGAGTAAATATCGATACTGATGAATTTTTAAATAACACCATTGTCGTTATAATGGTTTGAAGAATAATAAATCATAAAAACTAATATAATAAATTGCAAAAATTAACTTCAGCGCCTTCGGGGTCACCGGTGACCCCCCCCACCATGAAAAATACATTAAACACATTTATACAGTCAAAAGTCTTTAATCTGGACTCGTCGGGACTTCGGCGAGTTTGTATTATCAATTTTTCCGGATTATAGATCATCAGTTTAAATCTGGTAAGATGGCATGTAGAAATTATAAAATTAAAAATCTGAAACCGTAACTTATGAAATAAAAAACAATTATGATCTAAAGGGTATCAAAATTTACAAAAAAAAAAAAAAAAAGCTTAATATTCATTTGTTTACTTTAAACATTTCTTTCAATGTAGGTTGTTTAAGTTGCTTCGTTTTATGTGATAATACTTTCTCTTTACTTCTATAAACAGACATAATTTCTTGTTCAGTTTACAAAGTTCCGCTGTTCAAGTCTTATAATTGCTGTGTCGAGAATACCGACTAATTTGACAATCGAAATTTTTTCGTTTTCAATAACCTCTGTGTCATTTTCTTCAGTATTGGAAGTGAATTATAATGACGAGGAATTTGATTTAAATCACAAAGACTGGGTACATTGAGATGAAATACTACATTTTGTAAGAATTATAAGCCAAATAAAATAAAAACATCTGCCCTGAAGATAAGGATAGTGCTGACAGATCAACTTCTAGTTCATTGCTGCCCCAGGCCGACGTTCCCCCTCACCCCCCCCCCCCCCCCGCAGAGCAGCGAGAAATTGATAAACAGATTTCGGAAGGGTTAGAGAAAGAAATGAGCCTTTATCCAATTTATGCAGCAATTCCACTTTTTGTTTGGATGGACATCGAAACCATGCTTTCCCTTTGTAGATCCTTTGGCAGCTCCAGGCATCAGAAATTCTATTTGGCATAATCGAAATTTTCCAACTTGCTTTTATAATTATAAAATTGCTCTAACAGTCTGCAAAAAATAATAAGCTAGATCCAATTCGAAGATTAAAGAACAACGCAGTCTGCAACATTAACTGAAATAGATAATTAGATAATTTTAGCTTAGGTTTATGCATGCACGTTTAAAGTATACGTCCGTTATACTTTAAACGTGCATGCGTAAACCTATTATTCGCATGCGCACACTCATATGTGCATGTGTTAACGCATTATGCATTGACACATGCGCAGAAAGTTTGTAGCTTTGAAGTCCGGATTAACGACTTTTGACTGTATAACTCATCTTCTGTAGATAATATTTCAACGTAATATACATTGCATAATAAAAAAAAATCATATTGGTGCCGTGGGCAAACCACGTAAAATGTGCACGGCAGCCAACAAGAAATAGACATAAGTATAACAAGAAATAGACATAAGTATAATAAATAACTAAACTATTGCAATTCAGGCTTAATTGCTCAATGCACGATAGAAGTAAATAACTTAACTAATACAATTCAGGCTTAATTGTCTCAGAGCGCGATAGAAGCACAATAAAATTTAGTGGAACAACTTGTCGTTAGTCACCAACCTCGCAACACATAGCCAAATATGTATAGTGAACGATAGCTAAATTTTATGATGATAGCCGCGAACTTTAAAGGCTTTTGGATATTGCACACTAAAGGTGAAATTTTCATTGGGATGACAATGCTGCTTAATCATATGTCAATTAATGGATGGCAAAAATCTGTTGTACGGTTCTAGATCCAGAAAATACCACTACCGATAGTGAATAAAGTGACAAAGAGGTTACTGAAAACAAAACATTTTGCTTGACAAGTTAGTCAGAATTCTCAACACAGCAATTACAAAATTTTAACAATGTAACTAAACAAGAAATTATGAAGAATTAAAGAGATTAAACAACTTACATTGAAAGAAATGTTTAATAAAGTAAACAAATAAATATTAAATTTTGATATCCTTTAGATCATAAATGAGTCATTATTTCATAAATCATGATTTTATGTTTTTATTATTGCTACATGCTATCTTACTAGATTTAAACTGATGTTCTAATATCTGGAATCGCGGGAGTCCCGAGAATCTGGATGTCAGACTTTGTACTGTATATGAAACTGATGTAGCTTATGTTCCCTCTGTTCTTCCATTCTGTTTATTTTCTTATACTTCTATTATTCTAATTTTTATGCTGTAATTAACTTATTTGATTTGGTTCCTAAATTTCCTTTCTTTCTCATTAGGTAAAAAATCATAAAAGTGGGCCAGCTAGAACAGTGGAAATTGAGACTTACTCATCGACTATTATAAATATTGATTTAGTTCCAGTTTTTCAGTTTGATCATCAGCAGCTAAGTGACACACCTATTGCACAAATTTTTCAGAAATATCCCAAAATCTCATGTGCTGTGAGTATATCAATATTGAACCTGTTTTTATTTAAAGCCATACTTGTATATAAATGAAACCACCTTATTACAGTTTTCCGATTTTTTACAGATGTGAGGGTAAAAGTTACTTATTGGATGCAAGTTGGGGCTTTTCATGACTTTTTTTAAAAAGATTCCCAAGCTATTGATGTTTGTCATAAATTGGCAAAGATCATCAACATGTGAAAACAAACTTTGCTTTAGCTATTTAAAAGATGAATTTTAATTACTGGATAAGGATTACATGGTACATTAACAAATAAAACACTTACATTCTTCTCCAAATTTTTGTGTAATTTTTGTTTTTCACTATTCTGTCCAGGTACATAGTGATCTGTTTTCACTTTTAAAAAAAAAAATCAGAGTATTGTGGAGACTCATCATCAGGCAAACCTCAACAACACCAGCTATCTACTAAACACATCTGCCCATGGTTCCCTTTAAAGATTCTGTATTCCTGTTTTTCCATTACTGGCAAATTCCATAATTGCATATTTAAAATTAAGTTTAAGTCAAAAAATATCACAATTTTTGTATAAAAACTTTGAATACATCAAAAAGAAGACAAACAAAGTGGTGAAGTTGCTTGATTTGAAGCCTGTTATGAGCATCATTGCCTTAAGAATGGTTATGTGCATGGTTGCCAGAGTTTGGCACAATCTGAAAATTTGGCAACTTTTACTAAGGTGGTTGCAGTATTATTTTACTGATTTTCTGCTGTAATTTAATTTTCTGTTGTAGTTTAAATGACTCTTACATTTCATAAACAGAAATATAAATTTACCCTAATGTCATAAAACTGTAAATTAATTCTGCAGCATAAAACTGGATTAAATATTTGACTTAACAAAGCTAATTGGTTGGCAGATAGATAATCGATGATATTAATTCTTGCTTGTAGAGGAAACAAGGCAGTCACTTGCCCACTAGATAATACACAGTAGCACTGAAAAAAAGAATACTCAGACTGCAAAAATGTATAACTCAAATCTTTAGTACATCAAAATGCTTTTAAAAGCTAAGAAATGTTCCAAGATTTTATATAGCCTTAGCAGTTGTCAAATTTTTTTTCACTTGTATCATGGCCTGAGCATAAAACTGCATTTGGTATTTCAATTCTGCATCTGCTGCATTGTAGAACTAAGTAGTGACGACTGGTGAAAGTTTTTATCGTAGGCATGATTATGAATCTTTTTATCATGCAGAATGTTCTCTGCTTATTGTTCATAATGTTTTACTCCCACCACTTTGGAACACAGCCTAAACTTTTGTTCCCACTATTTCTATCCTTCTTTGCTCATGATACATTTTAGGTACCTTATTGTGATGTATTTCGAATACAGGGAATGAGCCTAAGCCATGTCTATGATGCACCACTAGTGCTCAATGGGATAAACTTATCAAACCTGCACTTCTTCACATCTATTGTAGCAGTCAGTGTTAGGCTGACATGCAGAATGTTCTCAGCTTATCGTTCATAATGTTTTACTCCCACCACTTTGGAACACAGCCTAAACTTTTGTTCCCACTATTTCTATCCTTCTTTGCTCATGATACATTTTAGGTACCTTATTGTGATGCATTTCGAATACAGGGAATGAGCCTAAGCCATGTCTATGATGCACCACTAGTGCTCAATGAGATAAACTTATCAAACCTGCACTTCTTCACATCTATTGTAGCAGTCAGTGTTAGGCTGACATGCAGAATGTTCTCAGCTTATCGTTCATAATGTTTTACTCCCACCACTTTGGAACACAGCCTAAACTTTTGTTCCCACTATTTCTATCCTTCTTTGCTCATGATACATTTTAGGTACCATGGTGTGATGCATTTCCAGCACAGAGAATGAGCCTAAGCCATGTCCATGATGCACCACTATGTGCTCAAAGAGATAAACTTATCAAACCTGCACTTAAATCTATTGTAGCAATCAGTTTTATGAGTGCATCTATCATCTCATTTTTCTCACTGTTAAACCTTATAGAGTTTGGTGTTCTTAGGTAGTATAAATTAAGTCCATACTCTGTCAGCCAAAGTGCAAATTATTGCTGTGTCTGAAAAAGAACTTCTGAGTCTGAACAAGGTTTAACAAACTTTTATTAAATCAGAACTGGAACATAAATACACACCTCATACTTGACAAATCAGCCAACTGATGTTGTAGAGACATGAGGTATGTTTTGGAAATAGGAAGGATGAAAGCAATGCCTTAGCCGGGATTAGAACTGCGGACCTCTCAATTACACGCTGAGCATGCAGACCACTACACCACGGAGGGGCGCTAAGAAGGCGGGAGAAATACCTTATATACTCCCCCTTTTAAAGGGCGACTGGAGTTTTTAGGGGACTTAATCGACAAATCCTGGGTGAGGAGAATTATCATCCAACACCCTTTTAGCTCAGGCGCCACTGTAGAGACATTAGTTATTTTTTGGAAGCAGGAAGGATGAAAAGTTAGCAATGTCTTTGCCAGCAATCGGACCGCAGACCACTACACCATAAAGCTTGCTAAGAAGGCGGGAGAAATACCTTATAATGTAGCTTAACATAACAGTAAATTCAAATTTAAAATTAAGTCTAGTAACCTAGGGCTGCACAAATGATTCAACGTGAAGCTGGCTGAAACTTCTCACTGGCATAACAATTTAAACGTCAGCAACTATAATGAAAAGCCTCAAAAATACAATCTTATCCGAGTTAGAATCTTATACAATCTTATCCCAAAAGTTCTGTGGTTTTTCAAATCAAAGCATGCTTTCTTTTAATTTTTTATTTCTGATATAGAGTAACTTTCATATTTAAGTATGGTCTTTTCTGTTCACTTTGCATAATTCTAATATGTTTTATGGCCTAATTTTCTTTTTTCAGCTGAGTACTAAGAACGTAGAACCCAAAACCTCATTTTCGTCAGATTATGCTTACGAGAAAAAAAGAGTGCTAGTCAAAGTGCTTATAAAATTTCTGCTGTATGTGAAAAAAGTGCTGTTTCTGATTACACAGTTTGAAGATGGTTTGAGATGTTTAACCCGTTGACGCGCACGATATTATTTTTATAATTTTTTTAACTAAAAACTCTAGAAATTGAATATTATGATTCTAGAGACAAATAATATATGAATTTAAAAAAATCTACTCTTGCCCATTGTTTTTTGTGTAGTGGTTGCACTGTGAAACCACCACGCGTCTAGAACTTTGAAACTTACCTAGGTAGCAGGGGGAAAAAAACTTACCTTTCTCCGTGCGCATTTTCAATAAATGACGAAATTTACGAATTTTAAAAAAATGCATATAGGAATTGTATAATATATATTTTTTACATTATTTTACAAAGTAAATCGTCAAAAAATTAAAAAATAAACATTTATGTAATTATTTTATAGCAGTGAAAGTATAAGTACCTACATAATAAGGACGTTTGGCTACAGGGATTAAAAAACTCAGTAAAATAAGGATTAAAAAAAAGACTCCTTTTTTTTTTTTTTTTTTTCCACAGAACAAATACTTTACTTTTTGTGACACTGTTCAAAGCACGTTTTGTGTTTTTGTTACATGCATGCCCACATTGCACGTTTCGCACATGTATCTTCTTCTATGAGGTTTCTTCCTTGTGCTACAAAATGTACACTGATTGGATCTAAATTTCACTGGTATATATCCAGCATTATTTAGTTTCTTTTCATTTGGCACATGAAATTTGTAGTTTTTTTTATGTTAATGGGAAGGGGGCTTAGTCTTTTTGGCTTTGATACGGATCATTCGTTTCCCATTCATACTTATTTTGTTCGTATTTCGTCCCAAAATATTTTTAATTTAAATAAAACTTTAAGCGATTTCTATTTTTAATTACAGCAAAGTATATTTACATTAAATTTAAACCACAAGAAATAATTTATAAAATCACAATACTAGCTTGGGGAGCAAGTGTGTTGAGGTCAGAGAAAAGTCTCTGGAAAGACCTTTTTACTTGGCAGGTGCATGTATTGTTTTAGTAATAAAATAACTCTGTGGTTTCAAAACCCCTTATCTATATCCAGGTAAAAATAAACATTCTTATTTGAGAAGCAAGCAAACACCATTGTAAATATCAGTGGTTTCAAGGGGCGACCACCGAGCCTCTAGAGCAGAGGTCTCCAAACTTTCCAGCCTTAGGGCCATACTGATTACTCCAGTATGTTCCGAGGGCCAAAACCATATTATCATTGTTGCCGGTGGTAAAAAGTGAAATAGTCCACTGATGAAAAAAGTCCGAAAAAGTACGCAACGTTTAAAAAAGGCTGCAAATCAGACTAAAGTCCGCAAAACGGCAACACTGCATATTATTAATTTTCCTGTCATTATCTGTAATTTCTAGATTAGTTGTAGAGTACGAGCCGTGAGGAGTAACGTGACACGACATCTGGTGGACGGATGTCGGTCCACCAGCGGAAATAGGTAGTACCTTCTATCGCTAACAGATGGCGCTAATAGCACATACAGAAGTCAGTTCCTATGACACTGTTGTGAAATAAAATAGTGTGTACCTCCTTAAAACGTGTTTGTGCGTGTTTAAGTTTAAGACATCTTTGTAACAGTATTTTGATTTGAATTGTTGCTTTTGTGTGTGATTTAGTAGTATGGAAAAGAAGCAAAAAATTGATAGTGAATGCAGAAAATTCAAAGATCAGTGGAACATTCAGTATTTCGTAATCGAGTCCAGTAACAAGGCACTATGTTTGATTTGCAATGAAAGCATAGCTGTTCTCAAAGAATATAACATTAAACATCATTATGAAACAAAACATTTTCAAAATTACTCAAAATATACAGGAAGTTTGCGGACAGAAAAATTCGAAGCTATGAAGTGCGGATTGAAATCGCAGCAATCTTCATTTACAAAACTCAAAATTGAACAAGAGGTTGCAACTCGTGCCAGCTTTCGTGTGGCTCTTGAAATCGCAAAACGTGGAAAACCATTCACCGATGGAGAAATGATCAAA